GTTCTTTCGAAAATTGAAGAAATGAAATCAGTAACCGTCGTAATTTCGGGAATATCGCCTATTCCAAGATGGCGACCGACAATTAAGATCGAACACTTTTAAACTATTGTTGGTTAAATCGAACGTAATAACGAAACGTCACGCGTTACGTCAAAATATCTACGTCAGACTTTTATCTTAATGAAAATGAGTTTGAAATGCTTAAATTATATTTTATAAAAATTTAATTTTTTTGTAAACAAAATATTAAAAGCTGTTAAAAATAAATAATAATATAAAAAATAATTGATTAGTTTGCATTATGTGAAAGCGTGAATTCCGTATGTTACTATGTATAGATGCAAAAACAAACTTTTAAAATGTTCGCAGGGCACGTTTTGTTTAATTTACTAATATGGAATAAAAAAGTTGAGTACATTATCAAACAATAAAATATCACCGACGGACAAAAATATCTTCAAGGCAGCATTTTATCAATAATTTACAATGAGAATTTATTATTTTTTATTCTAATAAATCTGGTTCATCCGAATAAAATCATAAATAAATCATTACATATGTTAACTCTTAAATCATCATTCTCCTGAATCTGTAAGCGTTAAAAAAAAAAAAAAAACAATTTTACAAGACGACCAGATGGCCGAGTGGTCAAGGTGGCAGTCTACCGCTATGGAGGACTCGGTTTCGTCCGGACAGGTCACTAATTCCCCAGGAATTTTTAGGCGGTCGTCTGTCCGGATATGCGGGCATTGAAGGAGCAGCGTTATTCTGCGAAATTCTGTGTGAAACTCGGGAAATCCTTCATGGAAACTTTTGAATTGATTACCAAGGCTTGTGGTGATGATGCTATAAAACGTAGCGCGTGTTATGAGTGGTTTACCCGGTTCAAAAAGGGAAGACAATCAGTGGAAGACGACGATCGCCCCGTGCCATTGGCCAGCCAAATCCCAAAATCAAGAAAAGATCGTGCATTGGCCAGTCAATTTACAGCGACATTGTCCATTTCCCGATTTGGCCTAAACATATATACGAAATCCAACTAATTGAGATCGAAGTAAACAATCAGCTTCGATCTAGAAACACCATGTACACAAAAAGAGTCCCAATATGGCGACTGCCGCGATGCATCACGGTATCGTGTCTTGACATTATGTTTATAGACCTTAGCAGATAGCAGGCTACTATGTCGCCATCTCTTGTTTAATATAATAATTATAAATAAGTGAATTAATTAATTTAGAATATTCTGGAAGAAAAAAAATCGGTCCTGAATGGGAATCCAATCAGAAATCAATGATTTCTTCCAGAATGTTATAAAATTAAATTATATTTATTTATAATTATTATTTATAACGATAGATGGCAATATAGTAGCCTGTCTTCTTCCAAATTGCTTAGTTTTTTAGCCTTATAATTCTATAAAAAAGAAATTCTGCTATTTGTTTCGTATTTCTATGTTATAAATATCTTAAAATAATCCAGGAAAAAAATTTCATATATAGAAAATATTATAATTACTTTAAAACGAAATACAGAAATAATCGCTTTTAATTATAAATCATTAATACAATTTAATCATATGTAATTTAAATAAATATGGAAAAGTTTTATAAAATAGTTATCTGTAAATAAAATTATTTACATTTAATACGAAGAAATTAAAACACTAAACTTGAATTAAGACAGGCATGGCGGATATCTGTCATGTTATCAAACGTGTTACAAATTGCACTCCTTCTACCGCTTTGGTAGATGGATCTATTATAAAAATGAATAGGAAGATACACCATGCATAAAATCGTGATCCTTTTTATCATTTTGAAGTTTCCTGAAAGGAAATTATTATATTGCTTTTCCTACTAATAAGTTCGTTATAAGAAATTACTTACTTTCTTCTTCGCTTTCCTGGTCAAACAAGAAACTGATCAATAATGCCACTATAATCATGTTGCAGCACATAAAAAATTAACTCCTCAAATATACTCTGCAGTGTTCATTTAGCTTAATTTATATACATTAAATTTATTTTAGGTTTATTTCAATGCAAACTTCTATGTGAATTAATGCGCATTTATAGCTTGCCACAGATGTGTTTGTGTTTCCAGTTGTGTCCTTATTATCACGTAGAGGAGTATGTCTGTTAATTTGGAATTTAAAATGGGATGTCTATCTGAATAACCTATTTTTGTTATAATAATTTGCTTATAATTTCCTTCTTTTGCCATGTAATAGCATTTTATTTAAAGAAGTTTATTTCTCGAACAACATGTGCATTAAATGCAGAAGAAAATGCATGTGTATGTAATAAATCCATTCGTATAACAATTCATGAATTTATTAACAAGTGATCACTAAATTACTGTACTGCCTGCGACATATCCAATTATCTTCGATAGAAGGACATTCGGTGATTCGTGCATATACTATTTCTGTAAATAGATAAAAAACAAAAAACTCACACACACATTGCTTCACCTCAATTTAATAACATTTCTCGTCATACCGTTATTCCAAGTTACGATAATCGTCCCATAAAAAATTTATAGCATACCGAAGAACCTATGGAGTATGCAGTTAAAACAAAACAAAGCTGCTAGACGTACTGTACACGTATAACTTCACATTATCTATAATACACTTTACAATAGCTATAATACAGTAAATGGCTTTGTTTTGTCATTACTTACATTGATTACTGTTCAGTCATCTTAGCATAAAATTTGTCGCCATACTTTTCTAGCGATCACGTGGTGTCCTTTGACCATCTGGCATTGTGTTTTCGTTTGCATATACAGGCATACCTCGACTTACGTCGGTTTCGAGTTACGTCGTTCCCGATTATACGTCGCTTGTTAAAAAAGTATATGGAAAAATAAAAATCAAGTTTAAGTCATTTTATTCGACTTTACGTCTGTCCGCCACAAATATTGAAGTCGTAATATCACTAGATAAACGTTTAAAGCACATAAAATCATATTAAAATATATACAAGTATGTACTGTATTTACAGTACACGCATTCGTAAATTTAGATTACTTTTTTTGTACTATATTAAAAACTAAAATTTATTTGTTTGTAAGCTTAAAATAGATTTTTATTAACCATATATTATTTAAAATGCTTTCCTAGTGATAAGTAGATTCGGAGACAGGTAAATTCGACTTACGTCGTTTTTCGACTTACGTCGTTTTCCTGGAACCAATTACCG